CAACCTTAGCATTGCGACCGCACGCTCCAAAAGGTTTTATTCGTTATCAATAACACATTTCTAAAAAACATATTTCGATTCGCATTTAATCTTTCGTCTCTGATGCTACCTGGATTTACTAAAAACAAAATAATTTCCATGCCTGAGGATGACTGTATGTACAGTTGAAAGTACTAGCAGATTTTAAAAAGTCCTTATACAGTTTGTAGTTATTAAAAACAAGGATCATAACATTCATCGAGTGGTTCGTAGGTTAATGTAACTTTAAAATTTTCTTTGCGAAGAGTTTTCACTATTTTATATCATTAACTTTACTAATCTACTTTTTTTATGAATGATTCATTGTAATATATATATATATATATATATGCGTGTGTGTATATATATATATATATATATATATATATATATATATATATATCAGTCAGTTAAATGCCACACGTGATATAAGCTTGGGCTATCATGTATCTTTCGATAGATGACTGACGCGGCAGATTTTTCACGCAGTAGGCTACCATTTCTTTCTCTGGTAGAGTTGTTGTCAATTAAGGCTACAGAGCCCAGTCTGTCCTATTATTCAACCCATAGCTGGAGGAGAAGAGATGGATTTATTCCTTTCCCAAGGATATTTGTGCCTAAGTGAATCTAACGAACTATACTGGAATTGCGTTTATCTCGCGAGATAAAGGTAGCATGCTGTTTGGTCCAAATTCGCCCTTTGCCTGGTAGGAAAAGAGAGGCGTCTTCAGATCTGGTGCCGATCTGGGCCAGTACCGGACTGGCTTGGATGTCAGCTTGCTCGATGAAGTTCCCCTCGTCCATATCAAATAAAAATTCACTAAGAAACAAACACAGACAACAGTTTTAGTAATAAAATGGAATAAATAATAAAAGAGAACATGACACAAATAAAGAGGTCATAAAAAGAAACGAAACAAAGAAGCCAATGGAAGAATGTGGAATAGGCCGGGTTGAGGCGATTATAATTAAGGAAATTTTATGCTTTCAGCAAAAATGTATGAATTTAAAGATAAAGTTACAATTTGTGATTTGAGATGGTCGGCAATTTCAAAGTGTATCACGCAGTAGCTAGGTATATCTGGCCACTCGTATTCGAGGATATCCGGCTACTAGAACGGCTAGCCAATCCCTATTGCAGACACTTTCTCAGGCGCATTTATGTTTATTCAACACCCACAGAGCCAACCTGTGGTTTATACTGCAACTATGCTGAGCAGACGTTAGTTACAGTTTCTGAGAAAGAGCGTGTTAATAACAATTTATATATATATATATATATATATATATATATATATATATCGGCGTCATCAGAAAAAACGATTTTGATTATTTCAACATAATCTACATGACCAAGAACAGTGTGTCTGTCTCAGATACACACACACAGAGAGAGAGAGAGAGAGAGAGAGAGAGAGAGAGAGAGAGAGAGAGAAAAGTCTGAAAAGTCACCGAATACAACAGCTCAATAAGACTGTCGAATACCCAGGCCGGTAGAGGTAATTCGCACTATCTAAAAAACACGGATACTACCCACAAACTACAAAAATCTACAAAAATATAACATTTAAAGTAATAAAGATTAATGTCGGAATAAAAATAAAATTCATTAATTCCTTAGAAATTACTTTGCTTACGTTTTCGAACATGAAAATAAAGTTAGTAACTTTTTACAAACTTTTGAATATGGGATTTCGATAAGATCTGAATGAAAAGTTGTGCATTTCTTTTTGTGGAAAAATGTGTATTTCTTAGTAATTACAGAGTGCATGTACTGTACATATTACTAGCAGTAGATAACAAATGTAAATACAGTCAGTTATGTGCCACACGCTTAGGCGATCATGTATCTTTCGATAGGTAGTAGGTTGGCATTTCTTTCTGCGGTAGGCCAGTTGCCATCCAAGTCTATAGAACACGATCTATCCTGAAGAAAAGGATTCATAGCTTTCCTATATGTAAATTTTGGAAAGCTATGAATCCAAGAGTATTAGCATGTAAGCGAATGTAATGGATTCGACTGGAATTCGATTCTCAGATTTCCCAATCCGAGCTGTTATCCATTACTCCAACGTGCCTCCTTTAAATGTAAATAAATAAGAATGTTATAATTGAATTGGTTAGTCTTTTTCTGATTTTTAGTAATTGGCTGATATTTTAAAATAGTTTTCTGCACAATTTATATATTAACAGATAGTTCAAAAGCACAAAAGAGCGTTGCATGCAGTCCAATGAAGTAGCAATCGCTGTGTTCATGAGATGATTGTGTGAATCTGGTAAGAATTGCTTCTGTATCCACTTCATCTAACAATTTATTTTCAATGGATGATTCCAAATTTCCCTCAGATAGTGAATTTTTTTAACTTCGGTTGAATCAAGTCTGCTGCTTGTGGTTGAGTGGTTAGAATGCATATAGTGTCGGCCCCATATATATATATATATATATATATATATATATATATATATATATATATATATATATATATATATATAGGGGGGCCGACACTATTTTTCAGACACTTTATTTTTTCAAGTTTTAGGTAGCAAAGGCAGTCGGTACTGTTTTAGTGTAATGGCAACAACATTTAAAAACTGTTTCAATACTACAAATGGAAAAGCAGAATTCAAATTAGAAGTATTTTTATTTTTTTTACAAATTTTCACATTACACAGGCGACAGTATTTTTCGGACATTGCAGAAACAATGCTAATAGTTTATGGCAGCACCCTTTTTTCAATGACTTCTATCAGTCTATCTTCATAATGTTCGTACATATTGATAATAACGTCTCTTCGTGTTTCTAGCAGTCTATTTTTAGCATCTTGTATGCACTTCCACAGTTCAGCCTCTGATTATTTCTGGCTCGTTGTGAACAAGCTCTGCAAGCATTTCCCATATGTTTTCAATTAAATTTAAGTCTGGACTTCTTGCAGGCCATTCCAGAGTAGTTATATTTGCTTCACACATCCAATTTTTCACTGATTTGGCCACATGAATGCTGCAGTTATCTTGCTGCAAAATAAAATTACTTCCCATTTCTTTTTCTATGAGTGGTAGGGATCTCTTTTCCAAAAGTTCTCTGTAGCTCAAGCTATTTTGACATCCTTTTAACCACTCGAGCCACAAGTTTCCATTCGGTAATACCATACTCCAAACCATGACTCCTCCTCCTCCCATCTGTCTCTTGTTGAGGATAACAGGTTCACCTTTTCTCGACCATTTACACCACCCGTCAGGTCCATCGAACTTAAAACGTTTTTCATCAGTAAATATCACTTTCTTGAAGTCGACATGGTTTGTTATCCATCTTTTGGCGCTTCCCAGCCTTGCCTCCTTGTGTTTTCTCGTTAGTGTAATTCTTTTCTTGATTTTAGCATACTTAAGTTCAATTTCGTTACCTTTCTTTGTACAGTTCGAACACAGACGTCAAGTTCACACTTCTCCTTTACTTTCTTCGCTGTCACCTTTTCTCCAGATGATAACAACCTCGTAACACTCCTCTTCATTCTTCTTTCTGTTCTCTTGGAAATTGTTTTTTCCGTCCTCTTTTCTTCTTCCGCTCATAGTCTGTACTTAGCATGTATTCAACTGTTGACTTCGGTAGCTTCATCTCAGCGTCGATCTTTCGGGTGCTGAGCACGTCTTCTCTCTTCTTTTGGACCAAACTGATGACTTCTTTTGAATGCATTCTTCTTCGGGATTTTAATACGTTTTCGCAGTGAATGGTAAAGATACTCAAATGTAATGGTCAGGGTACAATTTACCTGCAGAAAATTTGCATATTGTAGACGTTCGACGACTAAATCATTAAAAAAAACCGGAATTTGTGTCATGTCCGAAAAATAGTGTCGCCTAAGTTGAAGTAAAAATAAAGAAAACATGAAACCAAAGACAAACCCATCAATCAATGTTCATATCATTAATGGACAGTTACTGATGAACTACCTACTCTTCAACACAAAAGCTCTCGGCAGCAAAACCACATTTAAGCACACTTTTCAAAGTGTCCCAAAAATAGTGTCGGCCCCCTGTATATATATTGTGTATATTTAGGCAGAAATTTTTCATTGATGCATGTTTTATTAAATAATATAGACAAGTTGTGTCTATTTATTTTAAGTAAGTTCCTTTCATATTATCTGATAAGCTTAATAACTATCATTGAAAGACGAAAGGAAATCACCATATTGATACATGTTTAAATCCTATCTAAGCTTTCGGCTTACATAAGCTATTATCAAAGATGACAATTACATTCCAATATATATATATATATATATATATATATATAACACTCTCGAATCTTTCGGTTGAGCACTGTTGAGAGATGGGCGAATTCTATAAACAGCAGCTGTCAGCGCTAACGCATCGCTCTTCATTAATGAATAGAGCACTCTGGCTGTCTGGCGTTTTGTTACATTCATAAAAACAATACGACAGAATTCGTCTTTCTCTCTGCCGAGGCACCGATGGCTTGGGGTAAAAACTCAGACTGATACCAAATCGGTCTGGTTTTGATCCTAGCTTGAAGCATTCGGGGTTGTCTACTCGCACATGAGCTGTGATATAGCGAAACAAGCCTCTATGCGAATGTCATATATATATATATATATATATATATATATATATATATATATATATATGCACACATATTTATAAAATTATGTACAACACCGCTATTATAATAATACTGATTCATTAAAATCTTTTTTAATATTTTATTTTCATAATTTTTGCTATAATGCATTTATTATAATTCTTATTTTCTAATAAATAATAATAATAAATGTTTTGCAGGTAAAGAGTAATGTGTGAATGACATGGGCAAACACTTTGAATATTTGAGGAATTGATGTGTTTCTTATTGATATGTTTATGATTGCTAAGTATAGCGATACTGACATTTATACAGTACCTTGTTTACATATCAGTACATGCATTTTTATTTTTCATTATTTCATACTTTTGTATATATATAAACATGCTTTCATTTTTTTCTATATTTTTTGTTCTCTTTTTCTTTTTTTCTTTTCTTTTTTCTCTATTACTTTTCCTTACTTTCGTTTTTTTATTATTTTTTTCATTCCTCCATTTTTTCAAATGCTATCTTTTCTTTTCTTTTTCTTTTATCTATTTATTTGTTTATTTTAATTTCTCACTTTTTCTTCACTTTTATTTTTTTCCCATTATATTTCTCATTCTTTCTATTTTTTTTTTTTTCTTTCTTTTTATAATGTACTTCTCTATCTCTTGTCGCTTATCTTGACACCTCATCGAATTCTTACTTTCTTTTTAGATTTATTTCGTTTTTCCGTCCTTTCTTTCCTCTAATTATATTTACTTCTTCTTCCTTATTTCTTACCGTCATTTCTTTCTTTTTTTTCTTTCTTTCTGTTAATTTTTTCTTTCCAATTTCTTTATTTCTTAATACGTCTTATGTTTTCGTTTTTTCTCTCTTTCTTTCTTTATTTTCATTTCTTTTTCTTTAACTTCATTTTAAAAGTTCTTATTTTCTTACACTTATACTTTATCTCTTTCACTCTTTTATTTCTCATCAGACTTTCTTCCTCCTAATAAAATTTCTTCTTTTTTCCTTTCCCGCCAATATCCGACTTCTCTTACCGCCCTTTTTCATTCACCAATTTCAAATTATACCTCTCTTTCTACTTCCTTATTTTATAACTTTTTCCTATATTTCGTATTTTCCAACTGTTTTTATCATCTCCCTTTCTTTCTTTCTTTCTTTCTTTCTTTCTTTTCTTTCTTTCTTTTTCCTGTTGAATTTTCTTTCATCTTTCTTTCTTTCCCTTCTTTCTTCTAATATTTTTCTTTACCTCATCTTTCACTTTATCCGCTTATTCATTCTTTTATTTTATTTCAAATTTTCTTCCTCCGAATATTTTTTCCTTTCCCGCCAATTTTAAACTTCTCTCCCCACCTTTTCTTTTCGCCATACCAGATTTCAAATCATCTGTTTCTTTTGAACTCTTTATGCTATTTTGCAGATTTTTATTTACTAGATGTTATTTTACATTGTCTGTTTCCTTCAATAATTTTATGTCATATTTTTCTAACCGCGATCATTTCTTTTTATCTTTATTCCACACGTCTATTGAGATATTTTCTGCTTACTTTTTTTCTATTGTTACTTCAACTCGTTTCCTTATCTAATCTTTAAAAAAATTTATCATTTTACAAGTTTCGTTCTAAGCAATTCTTTTAAAAAATCGCATTAGTTTTATTTTTAGCATTGTAAAAAGACGCATTCTAAAACCATTGGGGATATACTATGCAAGAATTGATTACGTCTAAGCTTCAGCGAAAAACGGGGCAAAGAAAAATCATTACTGTATCAATAGTATTTTCGTTCTCTCTCTCACTATCTATCTATATATATATATATATATATATATATATATAGTCATCGACATACAAGCCTTTTTTGCAATATCACAGCTCATCAGTGTGTCTAGACGGGATCGAAACCCAACCGATTTAACATCAGTCAGAGATCCTACCCCTAAGCTATCGGCGCACGGCAGAGAGAAAGGGAAATTTTAACGTATTACATACGGATGTATGCAAACACCAGCAGACAGAGGGCTCAATTCATTAATGAAGTGAGGTGCGTAAATAGTGAATAGCAGCGGCGGCTACTATTTTGAAAATACCTTTTTTTCTATAGTGCTTGATCGAATAACGAGAGCGTAATATATATATATATATATATATATATATATATATATATATATATATATATATATATATAATCCAAATTATCCATATATATATATATATATATAATCCAAATTACTGTTTTTAACCAGACGCTTACTCTGTAGCTGAGTAGTATAGCACATCAGATCAAATGACAGTTCTATGCAAGACACAGGTGCAATTCCTGTTGGAGGACACATTTTCTATGAAATTTCTCAGACATTCAGGTTGTTAAATGTAATTAATACTGTTTATTATAAACAGAGAATTTACTTAAATAATTTTATCTATAAAATAACATATAAACAGAAAATATATTAAAATAATTGTCAGACTTAGCCTATTTCATAATTTATATTTTATTATTATTTTCATAATTATATATATATATATATATATATATATATATATATATATATATGAGAAAAGAGATGGAGACAAAAGAAAGACAGAGAGACATGTTTGTTGGCTAGATATTAATCATTATGGTCAGAAATACTCAAATATGCCTGCAAGTTGCAGTCTGATAGCACCTGAATGCACCCACAGTCAGGTAGTACTCGATTAATCTATAACATGTGTGTATATATAATTTCACTTTTATATGTACATTTAATGCCGATCAATTATTTTTTTTATTATTATATTCTGTGTAAACTTACATGTATTATAAATCTTATTCTCTCTCTCTCTCCCTCTCTCTCTCTCTCTCTATATATATATATATATATATATATATATATATATATATATATATATATATATACTGGGTGTATCAGCAAAATTGTCAACATCGTCTAACAGCAAAATTGTCCAATATCAGATTAATTTCTGAACTGTTGTATCTTAAAAATAATGATATCTTACTGGAATTCTCCGAGGCTTTTATAATACTATTGGACTCTAATTTAAGCAATAAGAATGTATAATTACTCTCTAAGCTTAACGGAATTATCGTGATGAAATCGATCATAAACGAAAATCACCTGTTCATCATTAATTAATCATAGCTAAGGATCGGAAGCTCATGAAGTATTGAAATGAAGTTATATATATATATATATATATATATATTATTCCAAGATCATTTTACAACTTATTCCAGATGATCCTCTCCCTCTCTAACCTTCTAACTTTCTGTCTTGGAGTAACAAGGTCCCTCACACGTTTAACATACGATTTCATTTTTATTTTTTTTTCATTTTCATTCATTTCATTTTTGTCTTTTTTCACTGCTCATTGGATTGTCATAGCTGAAACTCCTCTCTCATGTGCCAAATGTCTTATGAATTGAGTCTTTTCTAATTGATCTCTTTTACTCTGAATTGAGATGATGATCCCTCTTCCTGTTGTGACCTCCTGATCCAGTTTTCCTCTCTACTGTTCCCGCTTTTTTAAACTTGTTCACCGTTCTCTTGATGGTTCTTGAATGAACTTTGAAGGTGGAAACTAGAGTATGAATGTTGGTACCATTACTGAAAACCTGAATGATCTCATTTCTCTCACCATTCCTCAGTTGGGAAGACAGTTGGTCTGACAAGAAAACAATCTTAACCTGCTCTGTTTTTAGCTGAATAAATCAAGATGGCTAAACGTCTTATCTGAAAACATAGAAAAATGAAACCCAATTAGTTTAATGTTTTTTTTAGATATAAAACACTTTGTGGAGTGGATAATTATGCTGTTACACGATTTGGACAATTTTGTTATTATACTCGGGTATATATATATATATATATATATATATATATATATATATATAGGAATAAAATGTCGTTGCTGACACTGGAGTTTGAACACAGATCACCAGGGAGCAAACACAAGCGATCCCATTTTGTATAACTATATCACGTGATGGTAAAGGAAACGTATATATGGGAATTAGCGTGACGTCTAAGGGATCACTCACCGAATTACTTCGGAGGTGTGCTTGCAAACCCCACATTAAACTTGGCCTTGTGTCGCATCCGACCGCGTGAGGCGGTAAGTGAATATCTCACTCCCCGAATTACTTCGGAAGCGTGCTTGTCAAAGTCTCTGCCTCCGTGTAGAGAGGAACCCAGACGATGCTGTGCCGAATGGCAGAGTCTCGTCTGGGGTGGTAAATAGCTAACCGACCACTTTTTTTACGGGGTCTACTGGGAAATTGTGACCGAGCCTACAGGCTCGGACACCCCACTATAAACTTTGCCTTGTGCCGCATTCGACCGCGTGGGGTGGTACGTAAATATCCCACTACATGGATTACTTCGGGAGTGTGCTGGTCAAGTTCTCTGCAGAGAGGATCCCCAGACGGTTATGTTGAATGGCAGAATCTCGCCTGGGAAGACGGCTAACTGACCCCGTATTTTACGGGGTCTACGGGGAAATTTTACCCGAGCCTACGGTCTCGGATACCTGACTATAAAGTTGGCCTTGTGCCGCATCCAGCCGCGTGGACGGCTAGTAAATATCTCACTATACGGATTACAATTCTGATAACTATTCAGTGGTTACTATTCGAGTGAGTATTATCGTGCAAGTACTATTAGTGCGAGTGTTATTCGAAGACGTCTGACACCAGTATTGTTCAACGGCGTTACTATAGTTATGTCTGCGATTACAAAATCTCTACTACAACGAGCATTACGAAAGTGGCAACGGGTGTTCGTTGACATCACAAAATATATATATATATATATATATATATATATATATATATATATATATAAGCAAAATGAAACAAAATGGCTATTTTTGTAGTGATTTTATAACATATTTACGTTATAAATTTTCTTTTTTTTAAAAAAAAAATATATATATATATATATATATATATATATATAAATTAAATAATTAAGAAAGAGACAACCTTAAGGTTCCATGACTATAATTTATTTCCCCAGAAAATATATAGTTTCCTGGTTCATCAGGTCACATCTCTATAGTGCTGTCTACAGTAACCATTTCACTTTCCAAAGGTGCTGCATGATGTTGGAATTCACCTTCCTGAGAAACCGACCATTGTGAGTTTCAATCTCTGATCGGCAAACTAACGCTCTAATCTTTCGGTCTGACCCGTACTCCGCTCCCATCAATATACACTCACACATTTACGAGACAAAAAGCAATTCTTTCGAAGAGGCTGAATGTTTGATTTTTACTTGTCTTGGAGTTCATTTTTTTTCATTTTGCGCCTGCCTTCAACAAGGTTTTATCTGCGTATCGTATGTTAAGATTGTACCCACCGATAATAAATCCAGGTAAAACCTTAAGTTCTTTCAAGAAACTTTACTATATGAAATTCGATTTAGGTTGTTTTGATATAGGACCATCAGTTTGTAATTGAACAAGGTACTCAATTTTTATGAGTATAGTAAACTTGATTTCTTTCTCAGCTTCTTTTTTCTTTCTTTTTCTTTCTAGTAAATGTCTTTATTACTTTCTTTTTCTTTCTGTCTTTAATTCTCATTTCCCTTACTTTTTCATTCCTTCTTTTCTCCCTCTATTTGTTTCTGTTTTCTTATCTTCTTTTTTACCTCCCTTTCTGTCTTATTGTTTATTTTGCCTTTGCTTCTTTTTTTGTTTCTATTTTCATTTTTTTCTTTGATTTCATTTATTTTTCTCGTAAATAGTTCCACAAGTCTCGTTTTTCTTTGACGCGCTGTTCTCGTTTTCTTGTCATCTGTTAACTTCCAAACTTTTTCCCCCATTTCTTCTAACGATACTGGCTTTTATTTTTAGACACACCCCTTCATTTGTTTTTACGCTTCAACTCCAATATTCCTTTTCCCTACTTGGCGGCACCATATATTTTTTTAATTCTTCTTTTATACTGTTTTCTTGACAGAAGTCAGTTTAAAACAGCTTAACTTTGAAAAATAAAGAAACGCAATTTTCAAAAATATATTTACAACCATTTTTTTAAAATCAGATGTTAACTGATACCTTTTTTCAATGAACACCATGAAAAAAATATATATTATCATTCATAATGTTTGGTAGTTTATAAAATCGATTTGTTTCACACATCAAACATTATTATTATTAGTAGTAGTGGTAGTAGTATTGAAGAGAGCAGGAACGCCATGAAATTACTTCATTTAGTAACTCTCTACTTTGAGTGGGTCTTAGGCCTTGTATTCAGTAATCAATAGAGTAAAGATATTATGTTATTATGACATTATGTGACATTGGTAAAGGAAAACGGTTAATTTAAAATATGAAC